AAGCTTTAATCTTCATAAAGTATTCTTTTATGATAATGTTGGGGGATATTGAAGATCCTGAAAACTGATTTTTGAATTTTAGGAGAATAAGAGCCAGCAAAGAAAAAACCTTGATGATATTTGTCCTGATTTTGTGTCCTTTTATTTTCAGAACAGGTTGAATATAACAAAAACTATTCGCAAGTTTTCAATAGATCCTGATTTAAGACCCACTGGCTCTGAGTTTCACTCTGGAGCAGTTTCTAATTTCATTAAGCATGGAGATGATGTTCTTGAAGAATCTATTGAAGGTTCTGTACCACTACTTGGTTCTAACTTCGATAAGTTTTCACAGCAGTAAGTGGACTGATTCTGAATACTGAACCTGTATATTATTTGTTTATGACTTGTTTTATAGATAGTAATTAAACTCTTTTTTTTTTCTGTGCAGCTTTCCAATTTTGGTTGTCAATTTTTATGCTCCATGGTGCTATTGGAGTAACCGCTTGGTAATTTTGTTTTTCTTTCTTGTGATTTGAGAACAATGTTTATTTTTAAGCCATCCAGTTAGCTAATGAATTTTTATCTTTATATATACTGAAGATATCTGAAGTTAGTATTCCAAGGCTTTTATAAAGTTGGATTGAGTCATACAGAGCTATCGTAAAAACTAGGTCGGAACATTTCAGCTAAACCTCGAATATATTTCCAGTATTATTATTTGCAGTGAAGGATAATCACCTTATCTGCTCTTATAAAGAAAAAAAAAACATGGCTATCTGCTGAGACTTATTTGACATTAGTCATGCTCTAATGATATGCAGGCTTTTGGGAAGTGTATTAGCATGAGGTGGGATGAATTTTTATCTTTTTTGGGTCTATCGTACTGAAGGTAGGCTTTAGTGAGAGGGTGAATTTTTGGTAGTACAAATGTATGAAGGGGCCTCTTGTTCTCTTGCTTCCCGATTCTGTATGCCCTCAAGAAGGAAGGACACTTTTTAGTTTTTTGAGTATCTCTCCTCTAATACTGGGAAGAAGAATTATATATGAACCTCCCTACCTCCTTCCTTATGCTCACTGGATCCTTGGGAGGTGATGATGTGAGACAAATTGGGAGTAATTTGGCTACTTAGAGATTGAGGGATAAAATCTCGACATCACACTGAAGTTTCTTGTATATCATATCTAAGAATCTTAAACATCACATTAAGGGTTGGATTGCATCATGACCAGAAAATTGAGAAATTATCAAAGTACTTTATTGAATAATTAAATAATAATATCAAGGAAATTATAAATGTATTTATATGGTACCGAGTAGTCTTTCTGACATGATTACTTCCTTGATATGATTACACTACAATATAGACCAGTATGTTAGAAATACTACTATA